AGATCGCGCCACTGCACTCCAGCCTGCGAAACAGAGTGAGACTCTGTCTCAAAAAAAAAAAAAAAAAAAAAAAAAAAAAATCTTTTTGCCAAAGGATTCTTTATTCCCTCATTCTTTATCCCACCAGATTGCTCGCAGCTCCTAAAACTCACTGGCAGTTGCTTCTACAAACTCACAAGTATCCTTCCTTGCTGCCTGCCTCAAAGGGGCAGTGGTTTTTTAGGCTCATTGCTGTTTGCCTGTTCAAGTTTTGTTATAGTGACTATACTATCTCGTAAGACAACCAAGCATATCTTTTTGGAGAGAGGGGTGTTACTGTTGCTCATATATTATACATTTAAAAAATCGACATTTCATGCACTTGTAGAATTCCATACATTAATGTGAAAACTGATGTCTTTTCTTTAAAAACATGGCATGACCAAATGTGTACCTTACGCCTACATACAATGGCATAAGATATATTTAGGAGGTTACATTGCAGTATTTTTAAGAGGGTGATTTTATCTTTTCTAAGAAAGTGCAACAAATACAAGGTAGTAAGATATAACTTTAAAGAATAGTATTTTATTGAATAAGTTTTATTCACAGAAAAATAAGCTTTAATCTACAATGAATGCCAGATTATACAGCAGAAAGCAATTTTCTTAGTTTTCCACACAGAAAGGTTCTAAGTGAAAAAAGCCATAAAATTATATTCACAAATATAGTACTCTGTCTCAAAACATTTCACATGATTATTCACAATACTAATACAATTAAATCAGTCATTCAGTCAGGTTAAAGTGTAACAGTAATGAAAAAATGCAAAATTTAACATAAATTACATTAAAACCCTTGTTACATCAAACCAAAAATGCAAATTTCTTACTAAATCCAGAAAAATGGTAAAATATATAGTAATTTAAAATATTAAATTAATGATGGCCAGGTGCAGTGGCTCACGCCTGTAATCCCAGCACTTTGGGAGGCCGAGGCTGGCGGATCACGAAGTCAGGAGATCAAGACCATCCTGGCTAACATGGTGAAACCCTGTCTCTACTAAAAATACAAAAAAAATTAGCCGGGCGTGGTGGCGGGCGCCTGTAGTCCCAGCTACTTCGGAGGCTGAGAAAGGAGAATGGCGTGAGTGATCCCGGGAGGCGGAGCTTGCAGTGAACGGAGATCGCGCCACTGCACTCCAGCCTGGGCGACAGAGCAAGACTCCGTCTTAAAGACAAAAAACAAAAAGCAAAACAAAAAAAAAAATCCCATTAATGATACAGAATAAGAAAGTGGTAAACTCCAAAAATCTATAGGCATATCTGCTAACTTCAGACTTCAAAGTAGAATCTGATCACCCAAACATTAATGTAGCATTTGTCTAATGTCTGTTTTGTTTTTAAGACTGAGTCTCACTCATCCAGGCTGGAGTGCGGTGGCACCATCTTGGCTCACTGCAGCCTCCGCCTCCCAGGTTCAAGCGATTCTCCTGCCTCAGTCGCTCAAGCAGCTGGGACTACAGGCATGCGCACTACGCCCAGCTATTTTTGTATTTTTGTAGACAGGGTTTCAGCATGTTGGCCAGGCTGGTCTCCAACTCCTGACCTCAGGTGATCCGCATGCCTCAGCATCCAAAAGTGCTGGAATTACAGGCGTGAGCCACCGTGCCCGGCGTCATTTGTCTAATTTGAAAATACAATTGTCCCTTGCTATCCATGGGGTTTTGGTTTCACGATCCCCTAGGACCTGAGGATGCTTAAGTTCCTTAGATAAAATCACACAAGGCCGGGCGCAGTGGTTCACGCCTGTAATCCCAGCACTTTGTGAGGCCGAGGCAGGCAGATCACCTGAGATCAGGAGTTCGAGACCAGCCTGGCCAACACCACGAAACCAGTCTCTACTGAAAAATATAAAAATTAGCCGGGTGTGGTGCCGGGCGCCTGTAATTCCAGCTATTCGGGTGGCTGAGGCCTGAGAATTGCTTGAACCCAGAAGGCGGAGGCTACAGTGAGCCGAGATGGCGCCACAGCACTCCAGCCTGGGTGAGGGAGACTCTTGTCTTCAAAAAAAAAAAAAAAAAAGAATGACAACAATATAATAAAAAAAGCTTATAATGACTCTGCACCATTAAACACACTGTCAAATTTCCACTAAGGGTAGGAATGATGGAAATCCAACTTTGCACTTGTCTTAAAAAAAAAAAAAAAAAAAGCCGGGCTCATGCCTGTAATCCCAGCACTTTGGGAGGCAGATCACTTGAGGTCAGAAGTTCAAGACTAGCCTGGCCGAGAAGGTGAAACCCTGTCTCTACTAAGAATACAAAAAAAATTAGCTGGGCACCATGGAGCACGCCTATAGTCCCAGCTGCTTGGGAGGCAGAGGTTGCGGTGAGCCCCATTGCACTCCACCCTGGGCAACAGAGTGAGACTGTTTAAATAAATAATAAAAAAAAAAATTATTTGCATATAACGTATGCACATCTTCATCACATACTTTATTTATTCTGAGACAAGATCTCGCACTGTCACCCAGGCTGGAGTGCAGTGCCATGATCACAGCTCAATGCAGCCTCTGCCTCCCAGACTCAAGCGACTCCCACCTCAGCCTCCGGAGTAGCCAGGACTACAGGCACACACCACCACGTCCAGCTAATCTTTGTATTTTTTGTAGAGACAGGGTTTTGCCGTTTGCCCAGGCTGGCCATCATATACTTTAAGTCATCTCTATATGACTTTAATATCTAATACAATATATTAGGTTGGTTTAAAAATAATTGCATTTTTTTGCATTTTTACACCAAACTTAATGCTATGTAAATAGTTGTTATACTGCTGCTTAACAGTATAACAATTTTGGCTTTTTCTTTGTATTATTTTGTATTTTTGTATTTATTTATTTTTTCCCTCAGTATTTTCAATTCCTCCTTGGTTGAATCCATGGATGCAAAATCCGCAGATATGAAGGGCTGGCTATATATGCATTGATGATTGTCCTATTATACTAGTTATAAAGTGTCACTTAATATGTAGTGAAAGTTATGGTATAGTGGAAAGAATAGTTGAAAAAATAAACATTTGGACCCTCCAAGAAAGGTAGCTTGGTGAAGTTTTTAATCTTCAAACTATGTCCCAGTCAGGGCTCTGCTACTAATTAGCTATAATCGTTGCACAAATTACATCGCCTTTGAGCCTCCATTGCCTCACCTGTAAAATGAAAGAGAAGAATTGGGTACTCTCTAAGGTCACTTCCAGCTCTGTCATTCTATAATTCTGTTATGCTGAGGAAGAAATTCACATTGTGTTAACTGTATGAGTCAAACTGAAAATGATTATTAAAGTGGGAAAAAGCCAATTGTTTCTCTTAGAAAGTTCAACTAAATTTGAGAAGAACAATCTTTTCAATTTTTTAAGAAGAATTTAAGTATTTTTAGGGGTTTGATCTATTTATTTAGAGATGGGGTCTCACTCTGTCACCCAGACTGGAGTACAGTGGCACAATCATAACTCACTCCTGCCTCAAACTCATGCGCTCAAGTGATCCTCCTGCCTCTGCCTCCAGAGTAGCTGAGACTATAGGCATGTGCCACCACGCCTAGCTAACATTTGTATTGACCTATTTATTTATTGTGATTTATATCTTTTTTTTTTTTTTTTGAGATGGAGATTCACTCTTGTTGCCCAGGCTGGAGTGCAATGGCGCGATCCTGGCTCACCACAACCTCCGCCTCCTGGGTTCAAGCGATCTCCTGCCTCAGCCTCCCCAGTAGTTGGGATTAAGGGCATGAGCCACCACGCGCAGCTCATTCTGTATTTTTAGTAGAGACAGGGTTTCTCCATGTTGGTCAGGCTGGTCTCAATCTCCCGACCTCAGGTGATCCGCCCGCCTTGGCCTCCCAAAGTGCTGGGATTACAGGAGTGAGCCACCGCGCCCGGCCGATTTATATCTTAACTATGAGAAACACCAAAAAATACGAGTAAACATCACTGAAAGAGTTACCATGTACAAATTTTTTTCTACGTTTTAGCCCAAATTTCCAGGTCAAGACAAACCCACAGAGAGGTAAAAGGGTGTTAGGATGGGAGTTCATATTTACAGCAGGAACTTTACATACATGGTCTCCTTGAGCTCCTGCAACCTGGTAAGATAGGTATTATTCTCCTTTCACAGATGAATAAACTGCTACCCTTTTTTTAACAAGTAGATTTGTCTAAAAAGAACTATGTCAAATACTGCTTCCCATTTTCTTATTTCTCTAATGGCAACGATATACATCCCATAGTATATCTCAACGATATACTATCCCATTTCTCCCACCTCCTTAGACCCTTTCCCCATTCAACACCTGCGTAATCAGGAAATAAAACAATGATTCGGGTTTAAAGGGTATATCATGTGAAACTAATGCTGGGGTGACAGTCTCCATTCATAGTTCAAAATACAAATTTTATCCACTAAAATGGAAACGGAAGAAACAACTACTGAAATGTAAATAACATAACAACAAAAATAACAAAATATCATAATACACAGGGCCAAATCACATTATATACACTCACTACACCCACTCTACCCTACATAATCAAAGGGATAGGGGAAAAAATCAAATGTAGCAGGAAAGGCAATATAAAGCCATTAATTAATTAACTGGAATTTAGTTTGTAAATGCTAAAAGCATTTCTCAAAAATTAAGACAATGCTTTTGATCAGCAGACTAAATTATTACAAATAAAGATAAGTACTTATTACAAAACAAATTGAATCTTTGCATGACTAATATGTAAAATAAGTGGTGACTTGAAATCCTAGAGTGAACTTTACACAGAAATGGAATGTCTACATGTAGACACGGAGAACTCTTGGGAGGGGGAAAAGATTTGGATACGGCTATAGTTTTCACTTTGCAAATGATCAATTTTTGCAGAATTAGATGGAAAAGATCCAGTGCTTTTTATAGTTCAAACACAGACAAATGCTGGTAAGTCTCCAAAAATTTGATTAGAAGTTGGAGTGCTGAGTGATTTTAAGAACCTGAAGCAACAGCATTTCTAAACAATTCTTAAAATAAACTTGTTAGCCACATCAGCGTTGTGCATTAAATTTCACAACTCATGGAGAGGAAGAAAAAAAGTCTTGCTTAACTCTAAACATACAAGCTTTAGAAGAAGAATTTTAATGAAGTGTGGCTCCCAGAACAGGAAAGGCCTTATGTTAAAACAATTCAGTCCTTAAGTCCTTGGCTAACAACTAGACTGAACTACCTACCTGACTTAGAGCTAAAGTGTCCTGGAAAACATATTTAAAAAATTTTAACACTTTTCTCCCCTTGTAGAACACTTTAAATTTAAACTTATACTCTAGACTATACAGATCAAATTCATGTTAATGACTATATAACCAGACTAAGTGGCAGACAGTGCAAAGGTGAAGAACTGAGGATTTACATACTAAAACAGGAACAGCGCAGTCATTATTTAATTTTTAAAACTCTCATTTAAATTTGCAATGCTTTGGCTGGGTGTGGTGGCTCAAGCCTGTAATCCCAGCACTTTGGGAGGGCAAGGTGGGCGGATCTCTTGAGGTCAGGAGTTTGAGACCAGCCTGGCCAACATGGTGAAACCCTGTCTCTACTAAAAATACAAAAATTAGTCGGGTATGGTGGCACTCGCCTGTAATCCCAGCTACTCAGGAAGCTGAGGCAAGAGAATCGCTTGAACCCAGGAGGGGGAGGTTGCAGTGAGCAGAGATCATGCCACTGCACTCCAGCCTGGGTGACAAGCAAGACTCCATCTCAAAAAGAAAATTAAATAAATAAAATAAATTTGCAATGTTTTAAATGAATATCACTTAAAGTAGTAATCAACAGAAGTTAGGAGAACATAACAGTACTCTTTCTCTTAGAAAGTACAACAAAAATATAATTTTTTACAGTTTTACTCTCAAACTTTTCTCTATGTAGTAACATGCCTTACTCACCTCTACAATAGGTTTGTTGTGAGAATCTTATAATGTAAACCCTGGACGTCCTATGAAGCATTTTTAAACTTCTAGTTTATGTCCTATTGATTCTTATTCAAGTGTTTTTCAAAAAATATTTAAACAACTATTCTTTTCTTGCCAATATTTTTATAATTTCCAAGAGGTTTTAAGGATGTTGAGAGAACATTGATTTCAGAAGTATCTACTACTATTACTAGTCAAGAACACAAATGTAGGCAGAGGATTTAACATTTCATCCTATATACATCTTAATCATCCTAACGGTAAAAACTCACATGAAACTTTAAGATACAAGATGATATGAGAACCTCAACATGGAAAGCTGTCACTATAACTACAAGCAGTGTACAAACATACTTCTACTTTTACCTACATAAGCTGACAGATGTTTAAAATACTGAGTTAACAAAGATCTTTTAGTAAAGTGACTTAGGCAGGCTTAAACTAGCAAGGATTAAGGATGAATCCTTACTAATTAATTGGAAGATCTGAGACATATTTTATATTTCATTTTACAAAATCAGAAATACTTATTTTGAAACAAGATAAGAAGACATGGTCTACCTGTCAAAAACCTACCACTCAGAAATATTTTTCATCCACAAAGCAGGAAAAACATAAAACCATTTACATTTCACATTGGCACCAAAAAGGTTAACTGCCCTGCCTTCTTGGATTAGAAAAACTAAAGCTGAGTGATAAGTACTTTTGCAGGCGTTTGAACATGCCTAAGCCTTTAAATCAGTAAAATACTTTCTAAAAATTCTGATTACAAAAGTAATACATACTTATAAAAAATTCAAACAGAACAAAATGAAAAAAAGAGAAAGTGAAAGGCCCCTATAAAACCCCTCTGAGGCCCCTTCCCCAACCCCCCCAAAGAGAAACCACATTTAACAGTTTGGTGTCTATCTTTCCAAATCTTTTGTTCTATACATATAAGAAACATACATACTTTGATGGCCTCAGACTATACATAGTGTTTTGCCACTTGCATTTTACACTTAATATATCTTTCACATCTTTCCATGTCAGTACATCTTGGCTTGATAGTATTCTATCATTAAATACCCTTTCAAAAATGGCAAATCACTTTTAAAAAATTATTCGCACAAGTACGTGTTTATAATTTTAAAAGAAAATGGACAGAATCCTAAAACACAACAACCAACCTCTAAAAATAATCTCTATCTTTCCACCAGCATGGAACAATTATTCCTTTTTCACACAAAACAAATTATGTGATTGGGGAGATTAACTCTAATCTCCACATTTATATACAGAAAGCTCCATTTGTTAAGCCTATCTGAAAAGAATAAAAAATCCAGATGATTAATTCACTTACACTTAGAAATTAAGTCAGTATACGATGAATACACATTGTGTTCAGTTATAATATGATGCTTCTTAGTCTAGGGTTTCAATTAGATAACAGTAAAAAAAGTTGGATAAATAATACAGCTAATACCCTGAAAAATCCAGAAATTCAAAGATTATATTGCCAACTAAAACACTGCCATGTACATTTTTTTTCTACTTGGTAGCAAATGCTAATGGAATTCAATCCTGATTACTTAAAAGTCAGTTCACATCACACATTCAATCAGGGTAATAAGAAGAACATAACATCCCTACTACAGAGTTAGATTAAGACATAAAAATTTTTTGCTTGAAAGTAATGACTGTGTAGCACATGGGACACTTGTCAACTGCTTCAGCACATTGTTTACAAGTGACTAGATGTCCACAAGGAACAAAAACGATAGCAATATTTCTATCCATACAGATTTTGCAAAGCTTCTCCTCTTGCAGGCGCCTTAGCTGCTCTTCAGTACTAATCTCTGCAAAAAGAGAAAAGAATTATGCTAGTTTTAGACTTTCTTAGTTGTTTACATTCATTGAAAATATTTATTGAACTCCTACTACGTGCCAAGCACCCAACAAGTGCCAGGAGATATGAGGATGACTCACACATGGCATCTGCTCTTAAATAGCTCACATGCTAGTGGGAGAGGATGTAAGATGAGGCTATGGAGGTTAAGCACAAAGTACAAAGTGATAAGTGCCCTAATAAAGTTATGTACAAAGTGCTCTGGAACAAGATGAGAAAACAAGTTCTTCTGCTCAGGCTAGTTGGAGAAGGCTCCACAGGTTGGCAGTGGCTGGATCAGGGGAGGAGGGAAGCGGAGGAGTGACATTTAAGCATGGGTAGTAATTTGCCAGGCAGAAAAACAAGGGTTAGGTAAAAGGAGCAGCATATGGAAAGGTCACAACTAATTCCAGAAATAGAGGGATGGATTTGAGGGACACCTCTGAAGTGGGACAAGTAGGACTGGGTGACTGACTGGATATGAGGGCTGAAGAAGAAAGACAAACTAAAGTTGATTTCAAGATTGCTAGCTTGGCTGACAAGGATATGGTGATGCCAATAAGAAATATAAAAGGAGGTACAGGTTTGGGATCTTCAGATATTTTTTAGGTGTTTTCAGGACACCCATATAAAAATACCCAGTAGGTAACTGAAGAGTCAAATCTTGAGGTCAGGAGAAGTCAGGGCTAGAGATAGAGATCTGGATGTCATCAGCATATAGGTGGCACTGAAGTACTTGCTTAATTCAGCCTTTCCCAAAATAGTTTTGTGAAATGTGAATACATATGCCACAAAAAAAATGTGTTTCATGGTCACATATAACAATAATGACAACAGCAGCAGCAGTTAACAGTAATATTGTATAAACAGTATGTGCTAGGCACTATTCCAAATGCATTACATATTTTAACTATATCTTTATAACCACAACTATTTGTTTATTTTAGCATCTTTATAATCATTATGTACCGGCAGTTTCCAAATACGGCCTCACGTGAGAATAACCTGGGGCATTTTCAAACAACAGATTTCTGGGCTCCATTCACAGAACCTAAAATTTCTGGGGTTGGGCACACCGGCATTTGAGAACCACTGTCATCCATGACAGGGCAGTACAGTACAATATAGGACAGTATAGTCTATATTCCCTCTTAGAAATGTACAACACATTACCCTGTTTAACTATGGGGTTCCTTTTTCATGGCATCCTTTTAATATCCTGTTGAACACTATACTGAAAACATGTTTGGAAAACAACAGTTTATTCAAGAAATACTTACTGGACACTTAACTAGGTTCTACTAGGGATACAATTAACAAATACATAAACCTCAAGCCCCCAATCGTTCATAGACAAGTAAACAGGAAAGTATAAATGGTATGATGACAAAGGTAATTACAATGTGTTATGAAGAGCACAGGAAGGGTGTGTGTGCATGTGTGCGCATGCATGCATAAATGAAGGCCTCCTGGAGGAAATTATATCTAAAACTGGATACTAAAGAATGAATTAGGAGTTTACTAGGAGAGGGAGGCCTTGGGGGATAAGGGCAATGGGAGAAAAGTGTTTTAGGCAAAGGAAATGGCATAAGCAAGCTCCAAGGAGAGAGAACATGGCCTACAAGTGCACAGGCAAAGCTTGGGCACAGAATTTGAGAAAATAGCATGAGATGAGGCTACAAAAGGGTGCCTGATCATGAAAGATTAGGCAAGCCACGTAAAGGAGTTTGGACTTGATCCCAAGGGCCCTGGGAGCCAGTGAAGGATTTTAAACTAGAGACAGATATGATCACATCCATGTTTCAGAAAGGTTTCTCTGGCTAGGGGGTAAAGGAAAGGATTGTTTAATCTCTTTCTTCTTAAAAAGTACCCTCTTGGGCATAATAAAAACCATAGGCTCAACCATGGAATGCATCAGAGATAAGAAGATAAAGCACTTAACCCTCAAGAAGCCTGTTCTAATGGGCAGGGCAGAAACCAGTTTCAAAATAGTGTAAAAAGCAAAAAGCTCAGCCAGGTGTGGTGGCTCACACCTGTAATCCTAGCACTTTGGGAGGCTGAGGTGGGCAGATCATTTGAGGTCAGGAGTTCAAGACCAGCCTGGCCAACATGGTGAAACCCCGTCTCTACTAAAAATGCACACACAAATTAGCTGGGTGTGGTGGTACATGCCTGTAATCCCAGCTACTCCGGAGCCTGAGGCAGGAGAATTGCTTGAAGCTGAGAGATGGAGGTTGCAGTGAGCCAAGATCATGCCACTGCACTCCAGCCTGGGCGACAGAGCAAGACCCTGTTTCAAGAAAAACAAAACAAAACAAAACAAAACAAAACTCTACCAGCACCAGGAGTAGATAAGAAGGAGCTCCTAACTCTGCTGTGGGTGCGGGAGAAAACTTGAAAGAAGTGACTTCTGAGCTGAACCTTGAAACATGAGTTCACAAAGTAGATTCAGAGAGTTGGGGATAGAGTGGGGAATGGGACTAGGTATACAGACAGAGAAAAGGTACTCAAGGCAGAGGAAAAAATATAAGTAAAGAAATGGCACTATAAGCTGATTTATATTATAAGAAAGCATTGACACCAAAAAATGTCAGAATGAAGTGTATATTTCATGCCCAAAAAATCAAAAGGAGAACAAGTAATTTCCACATTACTTTTAGATGCAATGCTACAACGAGTTAAAAACAAACAAAAAAACCCAACAATACTGACACCTAGAGTAGTCAAATTTATAGAGACAAAAAGTAGAATGGTAGTTGCCAGGGGTTGGGAAGAGAGGGAATGGGGAGTTGTTTAATGAACATGTTTTTATTATTATTATTATTTTTTTTATTTTTATTTTTATTTTTATTTAAAGATGGGGTCTTGCTCTGTATCCTAGGCTGGAGAGCAATGGTGCAATCACAGCTCATTGCAGCCTTGAACTTCTGGTCTCAAGCAATCCTCTTGCCTCAGCCTCCCAAGCAGCTGGAACTACAGGCGTGCACCACCACGCCTGGCTGTTTAATGGATGCAGAGTTTTGGTTTTGCAAGATGAAGAATTCTAGAGGTTGACTGTGCAACAATGTAAATGTACTTAACACTACGGAACCATACCCTAAAAATGGTTAAGATAGTAAATTGTATGTGTATTTTATCACAATTTTTAAAAATCTAAAAAAAAAAAAAAAAACCTGAAACGAACCCCAAAACACTGGACCAGAAGTCAGGAAATCTGAGTTCTATTCCCAGCTATTGGCATGATCCTAGGCAATAGCCCATCTGTACTTCAGGTTCCCCACTAAGTTCATAAAAGTTATAAAATGGGCTGGGTGCGGTGGTTCATGCCTGTAATCCCAGCACTTTAGGAGGCCGAGGCGGGAGGATCACCTGAGGTTGGAAGTTGGAGACTAGTCCACCAACATGGATAAACCCCATCTCTACTAAAAATACAAAATTAGCAGGCTGTGGTGGCACATGCCTGTAATCCCAGCTACTCGGGAGGCCGAGGCAGGAGAATTGGTTGAACCCGGGAGGTGGAGGTTGCAGTGAGCTGAGATTGCACCACTGCATTCCAGCCTAGGCAACAAGAGTGAAACTCCATCTCAAAAAAAAAAAAAGTTGTAAAATAATCTTTAAAGTTCCTTTGGTTCTGATTGTTTGTGATACCCTATCATCTCATTTTTTTTTCTATATTATTTCATCCTTGTATAAAGCCACTAACTTGAGACGGTGATATTCTGGGCATAGATCTTTTCCCCTCAGGCCAATAGTTTACCACTGGCACTTACTTCCCTCTTGGCTTAAAGGTAACTACTGGATTCTACATACTTCCCTACAGCGCCTTTCCCCTTCTCCTCCCCACAAAGCCCTCTTCTAGGTCAGAAGGTTACTGGCACATGAGCAATAAAGGCTAGATAACTTTTGATGTTATTTGCTAATATTTGTAATTATTTAAAGCCTCTTTTAGAATAAACTGATGTTATTCATTTTACTATTAGAGAAGATTCATGTGGAAAGACAGATAAATGAATATGGGTTATTTGATTTTTATATTATACACAGTAATATATATAAAGATTAAAATAAGTACTTTAGTACGTACACTAAATAAACGGCTTTATTTTACACTACATAATTTTTCAAAGAAAGAAAAAAAGATACTGATTTGGTACTATTTTTACAAGATATTTTACTAGGGCATTCTCTGTTACACAGCCATTGGGAAAAAAAGACAGCACTAATCTAGGATTTCTCAGTAAGTGACAATGTTATATCTTCTCTAATAACCTTCACCTGCTTCACTTCAGTTAGCCCCATCCTTATTTTATATAAAATTAAAAGATTCTTAGTGCCAGTCTTTCCTCATCAGCTTTTGGAAAGACAAACAGGCAGCGGTCCCAGCATGAGTAGAGAGCCTGTATCAATTACTTGCCTCTCAATTTAGTGAGACTGAGGAGAGTTCAAATGAATTCCAACCCTTAGGCTCTCCTTCCCACACCATCCTAGTTTGTAGTCTCAGTGATAATATGAGCGCCCACTGACTCCTGTTAGATAGAGAAAAGACACTCTCCCTAATGCACAGTCCCTTGATCTCTTCCTATTACAACCTGCTAAATCTTTTTGCTGCAGACACATTAAGGTTTGAAAGCTAATAACTTATGGCCAAACTTAATTAAGCGCGTGTTTAAGATGCAGGAAAAAAATGACACAATTGCTTGTATTTCTGTTATAGTAGAAAAATTCTAGTCTGGCCAACTGGGCGAAACCCCGCCTCTACTAAAGATACAAAAAATTAGCCGGGCGTGGTGGCACATGCCTGTAATTCCAGCTATTCGGAAGGGTGAGGCAGGAGAATTGCTTGAGCCGGGGAGGCAGAGGTTGCAGTAAGCTGAGATCGTGCCACTGCACTCCAGCCTGGGTGACAGAGTGAGACTCCGTCTTAAAAAAAATAAAAAGAAAGAAAGATGACCAAGTAAAGGGTTTATTTTACCACCACCAAGATAAGTGGAGCCTGTGTAAGTTTTAAATAAATGCATCTATAAGGGAAAAACTGGAAGCTTTCCATTGATTCTTACATCAATGAATATAATTTTAAATATCATTAATGTTCATACTGTTTCATAACTTAAGTAATTATCTGAATAATGTTTCAAAAGCACTTGAAATATCTTAAAGATCACAAGGATTTTAAATGTGTCAAAAATAAGTAAACGTTTAAGTTTTTTAGTAGTAGAAGAATTCTCATCTTTTTGGAGGGAGGATAGTCAAGAGCTTAGAGAACTATTACAGGTATAGTACCCAAAAGTGTACTCAGTTTGAAACCTCTTCTTTAACCTTCGATGTTGTTGGCAAGCACTATAGTGTCCATCATCCTTAAAGGAGATATATATATATTTTGAGACAAGATCTCGCTCAGCTGCCCAGGCTGAAGTGCAGTGGCATGATCATGGCTCACTGCAGCCTTGATCTCCCTGGCTCAGGTGATCTTCCCCGCTCAGCTTCCCAGGTAGCTGGGACTACTGGCACACACCACCATGCCCGGCTAATTTTTGTATTTTTTGTAGAGACAGTTTCATTATGTTGCCCAGGCTGGTAGAATTCATATTTTTAATCTTTTTTCCATGATTAATGTAATGATATTTGGAAATGAGGCCTTTGGGAACTAATTAGGTTTGGATGAGGTCATGAAGATGAGACCCCCATAATGGGATTAGTGTCCCTAAAAGTAGAGGAAAAGAGACCAGAGTACTTGCTCCATCTTGTCCCATCCACCCCCATCCCATGCCATGTGAGGACACAGTGAGAAGGCAGCCACCTGCAAGGCAGGAAGAGGGCCCTCATCAATAACGAAATCGGCCAGCACCTTGATTTTGGAGCCTCCGAAACTGTCAGAAATAAGTCTGTTGTTTAAGACACCTAGTCAATGGAATTTTATTATAGCAGCTTGAGCAGACTAACACACAGCATTAAGGTTATGTTTAAAAAATGTCCATATCCCCAGCCTCCCAAAGTGCTGGGATTACAGGTGTGAGCCACCACATCCGGCCCTTTCTTGCTTTTTAAAAACAGCAATGCATACCTTTCTGTAATGAAGTCTGACTTGACTCATCTTGCGTACTGTCTTTCTGAGCATTCACTAGATCTGCAACCAGAACCTCAAGTGATTTATAGTTGCTCCCAGATATCTGAATTTTTTCCTCCATTATTTTCTTAATGTCCTTGAAACTGAACCCCATTCGTATAGCTTCTTGTACCATAGGATTTTGGAAGACGGTATCATCTGAAATAAAAATTGGTGAGGAAAAAGAACATAGAATTTAAACAATTATTTTCATTATCACAACTCAATAGCAAAATATAGTTAAAATGAAAAAATTCAGCAGCAAGCAAAAGAACAAAAACAAACCAGCAAAGCAAAGCTGCTTTGGGAAGATTTTTTGAAGTATTCAGGCACTGAAAAATCACTTTCAGAATCTTACAATTAATTGTAAATGCAATGAGTATGTATTTTGTAGTGTTTGAAACGATGCAAGGTAAAACAGGCAAGAAAAAGGTTAAGTGCTTCAAAAATCTGAACTTTTTTGAATCTAGCTGTACTCTTTAACAATTAACCTAAAGTACTTAAAGAGTGGATGTTGTTACTGAGTCACTAGCAATTATTTGGGGAAAATGATGGGAAATTAGGGAAATCCCAGTCTATAATCCTGAACATGTCAATTTCCTAGCTCTCAAACTTCATTTCTGTAGTAGAGCGGGTAGGACTGGATAAAGCAAGAAAGTCAATGGAAACCTGTTTTTATGATACTCAAAGTAGGAACACAGCATGTGTAGGGAAGTGCTAAGAGAGGACACTTATACCCTCTGACTCATCAATTCCACTCTTGGGTATTAAAAATGAGTGTATATCTCTGCCAAAGATATGCACAAGAATATTCATAGCAGTGTTATTTATAATAGCCCCAAACTGGAAACAACTCAAATGTCCATCATCAGGTGAATAGATTGTGTGGTATATTCATAAGCTACACAACAAGAAAAAAAACTATTGCCACAGACAATATGGATGAATCTCATAGATATAACGAGCAAACCAGAATCATAATTCATCATTATGACACAAGAGTACCTACTGCATGAGTCCATTTATAAGAACTCCAAAACTAATCTATGGTAATAAACAAAATTAATCTATGGTAATAGAAGCCAGAATGTAACTTGGGGGTGCGTACTGATGGGGAAGGAGCATGAAAGAGCTTTCTAGGGTTGTGGAAATGTTCTATGTCTTAATCTGGGGGATAGTTACACAGATAAATATATATATTTTAACAGATACATTTTAATATATATTTAACACATATTTTATTTAATATATATTTTAACATACATACGTTAAAATTCATCAAGTAGAAAACTTATGATTAGGGTACTTTAAGCACTTTACTGTGTGTGTGTGTGT